TGCAATATCTGCCCTATATCAATACTCCTAAAGCCCACGAGTAGTTTAGATCAGTCAGTGAGTAAAGATAGCTATATCTTTCTGATTAATTGTGCTAAGTCTGAGAAATTGGTTCAAATTATACTAAAACTCAATTACAAGTACTTATTTAGCTATTAGGTTTTTTGTATGAGGCCAGCCAAGTTTATGTAAATTGGGAGAGAGAGGCCACATGAAAGTAAGGAACTTCATCCAAAGTAGATTGAAAGGTATCACTTAAAGCAAAATAGAGCAATCAGGGGGGTGGTAGATGAATTTAAGCCAATAAATAAACATAACCAGCCAAGCTCTTGTATCTACTCTAATCAGCTCTGCTTCTAGCCTAAGAGCTACATTCAAGACATGTTTGGGAGTACCAAATATACCAGCAGGGAATATCTCTTCACTCTAAATGTGTTTATATCTCTGTTAATCTGGAGTACTAAAAATACTTGTTGATGATCTGGCTGTACCTTGTATTTCTGAGAAATCCTGGAAAACAGATGAAGGGCTAGACCAGTAATGGCAAACCTTTTAGAGACTGAGTGCCCAAACTGCAACCCAAAACCCACTTATTTATCACAAAGTGCCAGGGCCGCATCAGCATTGTGATGCCCTCGGGGGGGGGGGCAGGGAGGCTCCTCTGAGTGCCATCTCTGGCACACAAAAACGAGGGGTGCAAAAATGGGCCACCGTGCTACAAGGCGCAAAAATGGCTGCCGCCACGCTGCAGGATACAAATACAAGGCGCTGCACCACATAAGAATGAGGCAGGGCTAGTGAGTATCACACAGGCACTAGCCCCGCCCCATTTGCAGCACATGCATGCTCGCAGCCCTGTGTGCACATGCACACATGTAAAATGCTTCCCCCTCCCTTTTCTTTCAGTCCACCAATCGACAATGGTTGGTGACCTCTGCTCTACCACCTCTACTCGAGCTTGCTAGTCAGCTGCTTTGCCTCCTTTGTGCTGGGCGGGGCTCCTGCTCTGAGTGGCGCTGGAGGCCTGATGGACCTGCTGCTGGTGGCGGTGGTGCGTGTGCCAACAGAGTGGGCTCTGAGTGCCACGTCTGGCACCCGTGCCATAGGTTCGCCACCACTGGGCTAGACAATTGCAAAAGAACAAATGTCCCTTTCTTTAACATGCAGAAAAGAGAGGATTGGGAAAACTATAGATTAGTCAGATAATAACGCTATCTGGTGTGTTTCTAAAGCAGATCATAAAACAATCATTCTATAAGGACCTTGAAAAGGCTGTGGTGATTACAGGTAATCCTCGGCTTACGACCATAATTGAGCCCAAAATTTCTGTTGCTAAGTGAGACAGTTGGTAAGTGAGTTTTACCCCATTTTAGGGCCTTTCTTGCCACAGTTATTAAGTGAATCACTGCAATTGTTAAGCTAGTAACACAGTTGTTAAGTGAATCTGGCTTCCTCATTGATTTTGCTGGTCAGAAGGTCGCAAAAGTTGATTACAGGACTCTGCTACCATCATAAATATGCATCAGTTGCCAAGCGTCTGAATTTTGATCATTGTGAATGTGGGGATGCTGCAATAGTCATTAAGTGTGAAAAACAGCCATAGATCACTTTTTTCAGTGCCATTGTACCTTCAAACTGTCATGAAATGAATGGTTATAAGTCGAGGACTAACTGAACTAGAAATCACCATGAACTGATCATGAGCAAATGTTGTCAGACTGAGTTATTTTTTAAAAAATTGACTCACTTTCTTAGTAGATTGTGAGAATGCAGTACATGTATCTTGATTTCAATGAAAACATTTAACAAAGGGGATTCTGATTAGCAGCTAGTTAAGTGTGCGCTGAATTTCATTACTAAATGGAGGCATTGCTGACTCAAAAGTCACACTGAAGCAAATTATATATCTATAATACCACATCAATTTTGGAGTGAGGTATTGATTTGTATAACAGGGTACAGTCCTGGGCCTTGCAGTGTCAACATTTTTATTAATGATTGAAGAGGTGGAGGCACAATTTATCAAGTTGTTAGATCATACAATGTAGTTAATGTTTTAAGAAATGGAAATTATTTTGAATCTTGATAGATGAGGGAAACATGCTAAAAATAACAGAATGAAATTTAACAGAGCAAGGTTCTTCACAATGGAAATAGAAGTCCAATATATTGGTATAGAGTTAGATATTATTTTTCTTTAAAGAAAAAAAGATGCCTCTCCAATTATGTTATGGAATCGAACAGTTCCAAAAACATTGACTATACTGTTTGAAAACTCATTTATCTTCCTGCTTTGACAGACAATATTTTAATTCATATCAGTAGTCCATTACTGAAAAGAGGGTATCTATAATAATTCTTTTAAGCAATTTTTATATCTGAAAAATTAAAATTATTTTATATTAAAATATTATGAACATTACAGATATAGCCAATTAGAAAGATGTATTTCAATATACATTAGTTGATTCGAAGTCATATTATTGATTCTGATCTACAGTGTGATGACCAAGCTAAATTTCTTATGGTAACTATGTAACTAAATTCACATTAATTAAAACAAGTCTTTAAGTCAGGACATTCAAGCTCTTTATTCCAGGAGTGGTATAAAATATCTCCTAAAACTTCTTTCAACTTCCAATAAAAACATTTTTTTTTATTTAGGAGCCATTGTTAATCCTACCCGAGTGCCCTAACCTCTAGAGCAGTGGTGGCGAACCTATGGCATGGGTGCCAGAGACGGCACTCAGAGCCCTCTCTGTGGGCACGCGCGCCGTTGCCCCAGTCCTAGGCCTTCAGCTGGGTTTTATAAAACTTTTTTGCTTTAGGCCTCTGCCGCCGTGTGCAAAAAAAAAAAGGCTCAATCAATCAGTCAATTTCAACTTCTCCCGGGGAAAAAAAAAAGATCTTGCAAAGTTGGAATTGATTGATTGAACTTTTTAGTCCCACCCAGTCTGCCGTTACCACTGCAGCCACACCCAGCCAATGGGCCACACCCAGCCAATGGGCCACACCCACCTGGCACCCGATGATGCATAAGTGGGTTTTGGGTTGCAGTTTGGGCACTCGGTCTCTAAAAGGTTTGCCATCACTGCTCTAGAGGGTTAAGAACAGATAGATAGTTTCCAGATCATGGGAAGTAATTACTATATTCTGTGTTTATCAGACCTATCTTACATCTTGCATTTGGTCTTAAGCATTGATAAGGAATCAGACAAACAGACAAGTTGAGGAAAGAGAAAGTAGGATGATCCAAGTTTCATAGAGGCTAGGAAGAGAGGTTTCAGAAATAGGGTATACTTAACTTTGAGAGGATGGAGAAGATAAATAGCTTATTTCAAACACCTGAAAGAATGCCACATAGAAGAAGCTCCATAATCTCTTCTCTATCCTGTCAAAGTGCAGAACATGGAATAATGGAGTTAAGTTACTGGAAGACAAATTCTAATTGATTGGTAGAAAAACAATATTCCTAGCAGGAAGAGTAGCAGTGGAACCAATAGTGTAAGAAAGGAAATGGATATATTCAGGGTCAGATTAGATAGTCATCTGTTTGGAATGCTTACATCTGAGTTCAGAGGCAATTGGTTTCAATACCCAAATTGCCCCCTATCCAACTATGCCTGTATAAATGTGTGACAAATCGTACAGGATTTTCACCACATCTATGCTTGGTGTGCTCTTCCCACATTCTTATATTATTTTGTTGAAAATACCATGGGAAGAATTTTGCAGATCTCCAGAAATGAATCATTTCTTTGTGAGATTTTTTAAAGTGAATTCTTGTCAAGACTTACATGTAATTCAAATGTATTTTATTGGATTTTTTTCATTTCACCGACTGCAAATTCTATTTGGCAACCTTGCCATCCATCCATCCACCCATCCACCCACCCAAAACATCTGCAGAAATATTTGTACTTATTTTCATGAACAGGTCTAATGTACACATCTGATCTATCTGCACATTTTTGCAGGCATTTTTATATATACTTTTCCTAAAATTAACATTTTGGTACATAGTTTCCCCAGTGAGCAATTTTAAGCATGTTGTTCAATTGTAAACAGAATAAGAAAATTCTATAATGCACATTTTGATATTTACTAGTTTTTCAGATTGCCCTGTATATTGCAACGTTCCAATATTTATATAAATTACGCCCACCTTTATAAAGGTATTATGTTGCTGCTTCAGACTTTTTTTTCTCCTTAACTGGAATATAATTAGCTAGCAATAGCTATTATTAGAGATTAAAGATATTTCCATAGCAGATGTGCATATATTTGAAAGGAGCCACTATTTTTTAAAAGGCAACTGATGTCAAATAGCTCCTGCTAAATGGGGGATGCATGTGGAGGGGAACAGTGGCAGATGCCCTTTATTTAGCAAAACTTTAAAGGGTTACCTTTCTAGATCTTTTTTGTCTGGGAGTGAGGCCCATGTTGATTCTATGTCTCCTCTAGGAAAATTCATTTGCTTGAAGATCTGAAAGAGAGGTTCCAAGGGAATAAATAACTTGCAAAAAAACTGTGTTGCCTTTTTTTGCCTCTTTTGGGAATTCACCAATAAACACAAGGCACAAGATCCTTAGCTATTGCAGTGTTTGAAAAGGAATGACCATCTGCTAGCCTGAGCAAAACATGCACTGGATGCAGTCACATGTAACACTAAACAAGGACATAAATAATGGCTTGTTGATCAAGTCAGAGTAGCTTCAGTTGCATATTACACTACATTTTACAGTGCTTATTGTAATGCACCAGCCAGGCATCAAGGATCAACATCTGCTTTTCCTGTCTGGATGCCACTGTTGTATATTCACTTCTAATCTAAATTAGTCTTAAATGAATCCTTGAAATAAGCTTCCCTTGTTTCAAATTTCAGCAAAGGGAAACCGTTACTAAGGCTGCAGTTGGGATCGAAGGGAAGAGAAGGTTGATACAGAACAATCCCTTGGATTTTTTATTTAGTCCCTCTTCTTTTGTCTCACTTTTTCCAGGGGATGTTCTGTTCCAGATGGCTGAAGTCCACAGACAGATTCAAAATCAGTTAGAAGAGATGGTAAGCACTTGTGTTGTTATTAACTTGTCTTTTTGCAGAGCTTGGCTAAGGGGCAGCCTGCAGAGCCTCTGATACACATGGATTTAAAATTGAAACACATCTGCTTTAGAATAGCTGCCAAGTCCTGTAAGTAAGAATAGGGACCTCAGTTGAATAAATTGTGGGCCAAACAAAATTGCAAATCATGTGCTGACTTTTGAAATGTCCAAGAAATCATGGTTCTGATTGGTTTCAAGTAGCTTCCTGTTGAATTAGAAGAGGAATGTCCTTAATTATGCCTGGACCTATAAGTAGAGTGGTAAAGTAAGCTTTACTCAAAAGAATAAGAAATAGAGATTTTGCATAGAAATATTTTGAATCTCAGCCTACTGGGGAAGTCTGTTAACAGATGACCTGCATGCCTTCTCTGTCTTCTGTCCAGCTACTAACTAGAAATGAGAAACTTTTATTTTTATGTTTTATGTTTCTTTATTTTCAAGGCAGAATTGAATCAAGTAATCTCCAGCTAGAGAATATCTTCAAAAATTATCCTCTAAAGTAGAAAGCAACCATGCTACTTACAACTGTTCATTGCTTGTTATTCCAATTATCCATTATTGCTTCATTGCCTTACAATCCAAATTTCACAGAGAGAGAGAGAGAGAGAGAGAGAGAGAGAGAGAGAGAGAGAGAGAGAGAGAGAGAGAGAGAGAGAGAGGTGTGTGTGTGTGTGTGTGTGTGTGTTGGAAGTTGGAAGGGACCTTGGAGATCATCTAGTCCAACCCCCTGCTCAGGCAGGAAACCCTATACCATTTCGGACAAATGGCTGTCCAGTTTCTTCTTAAAAACTTCCAGTGTTGGTGCATTCACCGCTTCTGGAGGCAGGTTGTTCCACTGGTTAATTGTATGTATGTATGTATGTATGTAAACCTCAAAAAACATATATATATATATATATATATATATATATATATATATATATATATATATGAAAGAGAATATATATATACCCGCCATTCTGTTTTCCATTATCATGTCCACTTGTAATGATCTGATTGGTATCTTAATGTAGATTATTTGTCTTTACTTAGAGTTTTCTTCTTATGATCAATATTCATATTTATGCTGCTTCTGTTTACTTCTCAGCTGAAGTCCTTCCACAATGAACTACTAACACAGCTTGAGCAGAAAGTAGATCTAGATTCACGGTATCTAAGCGTAAGTAACAAGGAACTTTTATTGAATGTAAATTGGATTAGTAACTGTATAGTTATTAACATGGCATTATGAAGCTAGTTGATAGTGAGCAAAACTGTAAACTTTGCTTATAGTTGGGATGAGTTTGCAAGAATTGGCAGGTGCCTTAATCTGTTTTTGCAAGGTGCAGATTAAGAGAAGAATATTCAAGATCATTTGAATAAGCATTGGAATAAGTGCTTAAGAAAAAAAACATTTATTCAAGATCATTTTATTCAGAAAAATGATGCTTTCATTATTGCATATTTGTAAGGATGCTCATGGTTTAAATTAAATCTATAGGGATTCTCATTTAATTTTTTAAAAAAGGAGTTTCACATAGCCTTGGGGAAGAAAAGGGCTGCACTGTGTATTGCATTGTGTATTGGAATTGGAGTCCAGGACTCATGGGAAATGCCTTCTTGGCATGTCCCAAAGGAAGACAGCTTCTGTTTCTAATCAATGCACCCTCATTCAAAACATGTCCTCTACAGCAGGTGTGAGGTTGAGACCTTTCTGCTTGTAGGAAGCATATAAACTATGCTCATTACCCACAGGGGAAATCTCTGCCCATGTCTTCAGCCTATTATTATTTCAGCTACTCAGCACTCCCACACATCTTCCATGTTCAGGCTGCACTAAAGAAGTACCAGACCGAGCAAAGGAATAAAGGGGACTCGGTAGAAAAATGCCAGGGTGAATTGAAGAAGCTTCGGAAAAAGAGCCAAGGAAGCAAAAATCCTCAGAAGTATTCGGAGAAGGAGCTGCAGGTAGGCCTCTGGGTGAAAAGCTGGGGCGGGACATCATCTAACTGGGGTTGTGTTTGGTAGGTTGACATTACTACTATGGGTTGGCCAATGGCAGATGGAAGCTAATTTCGGTGGAAGTCATTGGCATTGGCTTTGAACCCCCTTGTATGACAAAAGCCAAAATGGCCATAAGAATATAAAACTTCAATCCTTTACACACATCCTTGGGAGTAAATTTGATTCCCGTCAGTGGAATTTGTTTCTAAGTTACCAATTTCGATTGCAGATCTTCAACTTTGGATAGCTTCACTTTATTCTTTATGACATATTGACTAAAAAGTGAATATATAAATCCTGACATTCTATTGCTTGAAGAATTTTATCTGCTGATAGTCTGAAGATTGGTAACTGATATGGTCCTTGATATTTAAGAGTCCACTGAATTTTAAAACCAAAAACTGTTTGTGTATACAATGAATCACATAGTGTGGAACTGATTCTTTCTCAATTCTTATATTTACCAAGGTTTGCTGAAAACTACTGATGAACTTTTCAGTCTTTCTGAATTTAACCTTTGCTATTTTGGTTTTCTTGCCTTGTTAACATTGTGGCAACAATGTCTGGTACTTCTATCTGCAATAGCTACATATTCAATTCTAGAACGGGATTCATGGGTTTAGCTTTATATTACTAAAGAGTATAGGTTGAGGGGGAATTAAATCATTATTCCTGTGTGGACTGCTTGCATTATAAGCCTTCTTAGGGTTAGGAGAAGCTGTGGTAGAATTTCTAAGGAGGAATTTGAGACCCAAGGAGAATAAATGAAAAGCTACAAGTACAGAAGATTTAGAAAACCGAATGGCAGCCAAATCTTGTCACACAGCATTAATCAAACTAATGCCTTGAGCGCAGAGAGCTTCAATCTGAGGCCTACAACCATGGGCCTCTTTAGTACTGACAGGCCAAGCTACAGCACTGACTAATATTAGAGGGTGGGAGTTGTTATTGGATATTTTTTATTTATTAAATTTCTACACTGCCCATCCCACCTAACTGACTCAGGAGGATTTACAAACAACCATATTCACAATGCAAGCTTAATCCTATCATTCTTTTGATTGGTTTTAATGAACAAATGTGGTAATCTGCATTTATTTTTTGTTTGAAGACTATACCTAAAAGAATAAAAATTTGCATCCCGAAATGAAATTGTTATTGCCATTAGATAATTTAATGTATTAAATGTAAATGCCACCTAACTGCAAGCAATTCTTATTGCTTGGGTTAATTTGCATATTCAAATACATAGGGGAAAGGGTTTAGTTGCCAGTTACCAAAATGGTACATGTTTTCTTTTCAAAACAAAGGGAAAATAAATAAACTTTAGAATTTGGGAGTTCAAATTCCACCAAGCCGGGCACTGTATTTTAGGAGGTAAATGATAAAGATGTTCCATAATCTGTATTTAGGATGTTCAGCATCACAGAGCATGTCTGTGCAAAAGTTATCCTTCGTGCCTCATTTCTCTTAAGTCCAGAGGCAAAGGATGAAGCCCTCGGGATATGCTAGAATTGTTATATCTCATCCTAGTCTTATGAATTCATTTATGAAGTTATCTAAGCCATTGTGCATGATTACTACTGTTCATGGAGCATGTCTGTAAAGATGTCAGATGAGCAACCCTTTGGTATTTTCTAAGTTTCTAGATGCAGGTATAAGAAATAATTGCTAGGTGATCCATATAAAGAGTATGCCAAGAAACATTTTATTGTGTGAAAAAAAATAAAGTTTCTCAATCCTAATTGGCAGTGTGCCCTGAAAAGAGCTGCTCAAGAGAAGGAGCAGAGTTTTATTTGCAGTTGCCTCTCAGGTTGCCTTGAGCTATTTGATTGCAGAATGAAGTGCAAAAATAATAGATAAACTTCAGAATATTCAGAACTAGTCATTTTGGCTTAACCTGAGTGACAACAGTGAACTTTCACAATGCTTTTTCTTTGGCATGATTACTTTTGATTAAATAAAATATTCTCTTTATCTTATACTTTTAGGTTTACTTGCTTAATTTGTTTGCAATAGGTATTCCAGTAGTTTTCAAAAACTGAGGAAAAAAGGAAATAAGGTAAAATTTGAACTCCCACACTTTCTAGGAGGAACAGATATTTCATATTCTCTGTTCAGGTAGTGTTTGAGCAGACATTTCAGAAATATGTTTCTGAAGGAAAAATTTCCCCAAAGGCATTAGTATGTGACCTCTGTTTAAATTTCCTGGGACTACGTCCCTGTATTGAAGCCTATCCCTACACTCTTCTGAAGACTGTAAAAGCACAGCCTCTTTGTTTCATTGGCAGTTCCAGCATGGATGAAATGTTGTCCGTGTGTGCATAGGCAGATAATTGTGGACAATGTTCAAAAGAGACACCTGAACCCTTTCAGAAGAAAAGTCTGCTTTAACGGTTTGAAAAGAAGTGCAGGTAATCTTCGACTTACCACCATAAATGAGCCCAATATTTCTGTTGGTAAGCAAGACATCTAAGTGAGTTTTTGCCCCATTTTACGACCTTTCTTGCCACAGTGAATTGCTGTGGTTGTTAAGTTACTAACATGTTTGTTAAGTGACGCTGGCTTTCTCATTGACTTTGCTTGTCAGATGGTTGCAAAGGGAAATCCCATGATCCCCAGACACTGCAGCCGTCATAAACATGTGTCAGTTGCCAAATGTCTGAATTTTGATCATGTGACCAGGGGGATGCTACAACAGTTGTGGGGGAAAGGGTCATAAGTCACTTTTTGCATTGTCATTGTAACTTCAAATTGTCACTAAGTGAATGGTTGTAAGTTAAGCATTACCCATACTTGGTTTGCATTAATACACGTTTGTAAAAGTCCTTTGCACAGCCCAGCCTCTAATCTTCTTCTATACTTTAGAAGGAAAGTGGGGGATATAGTACTTCTTGCACTCTCGCTTTATTTTTAAAACTTTCCTTGCATGAAAAATCAGAAGAATGTCTCCTATCTTTTTGTGCAATTAAAAAATGGATGATTGCAAGTAATGGGAGTTCTCTACCTAAGCTGGGCTCTTGACGTTGTCCATCCTGCTCAGATAGCAGGAGGCTGGATCTGACTTTTCAGCTCAACCCACTTCATCGATTCCTCAGCCTTGATCCATAAGACAGGGGTAGCAAAGAACACTGCCAAGAAGGTTGTAAAAATAAACCCACTCTTGTTAGGGTTTACTTTTAAATGCAGAATTGTCCTTGTGATATAAAACAGACTCCAAACTTAGAAGCCCAGTTTTGGAGCAGACATCCTAATTGTTTTCTGTAGGAATATCTAGATAAGTGAATCCTTAAGCCTGATCTACAAAATGGATCAAATGGAAAACATTTTCTTCACAAAATTCTAATGTGCACCACAGTTGAAGGACTTATCAATTATAACAATTTTCCAGTGAGAAACATTTGTGTTTGGGTGAGTTGGCCACCTGCGTTAACATTTGGTGACAAGTGACATCCAGCAGAAAAAGTAATTTTCAGCTATGAAATTTCACAGCTACTTTAAGGAACAGCTTAACACTTGCACTATTCAGATACTAATGTTTCAACACCAATTCTTTATGTGTTTTAAAAGGTTTAAATATTTGCAGTTACCCAAAGCACCCTAAAATTTCCCTTAAGCTTTTGCACATTTGATGGGTGGGGTTTTTTTGAGTGGGAAACTAGTCTTTTCTCTGAAATTATGCTTCTTACTTTGTTGGATAGAATGTATGTATGATTTATAATGGTTTCAGGATATGTGATACTTTTTTTTTTTGCTTTACACCATTCTGAGATGGGTAGCCACATAAAGCTGATAAATAAATAAATAAAACAAATGTAAATTGTAGATTAAAGTAGAAACAAACCTTCCCATTGCAAATCCATAGGTGCCACACGTGTGCTCTAGAGCAGGCATGTCAAACTTGCAACATCATGTGACATAGCACGATGTATCGCAACTTTTTCCCCATTACCGGCAATGGGGTGGGCGTGTTTTTGGCGTGACGCATCCGGGCTGCGGGCCGGCAGTTTGACATGCCTGTTCTAGAGGGATAAGAGGCATCTGTTGGAGCAGAGTCCAAGCAGATGGAAGGCTGCAGAAGAAGGAGAAAGAAAATACCCTTGTATGAGCAGGGTGCCTTCAAGTAACATTGGATATAGTCCCTGTTATTGTATTTCAATGTGTATTTCTGGAAGAGTAGACTAGCAAGTAGACTAGCTGGCTACTTCCCCTAAATAACCAGAAGAATTAGTGAAGGGTAAATGAAAACATATTTAAGAAATAGACATCACGTCATATATGGCCCATATAGGAAGTTGCTTTTCTATATTTACCCAAAGATTTACTAGGCTATAGCTTAAAGTTTATTTCAGTGTTGAGATTCTAAAATAGGACTATTTCCAGGACTTGTTATACAGAACAATGCCACTTCCTGAGCTGCTTAATCAGAACTCACATACAGTATCTCTGATAAGGATGAAATAAATTTAGAACTTGCACCCATAACTTTCAGGTGACTTTAAACCCAGTCTTTAAACAACACTTTGGGCAGATGGCTAATTTTTAAAATACCATGGCTAAAGAATCTCATCTAAATTGACAAGGGGAAAAGATATAAATCCATTAGATCTTTCCCCACTCATATTTGATGCTAAATGATAATATGGGCAAAATAACTATGAGCACATTTTTCTCTCTGTATAAATTATAAACAGAATCCTAATGTAATCTAGGGCACTCTTCCCCAACCTGTCCAGAACTATTAGAATCATAAATTCCAGATTTTCTAACAACCCATAAGAATATATTGCTAAAGGGTGGATGTTTGATATTGGAACATTTTGCTTTCTGGGAATCTGGGAGTTGTAGTACTAGCACAAAGAGGGGACCATATGTGGACAACTGGCTGACAGTGGCAAAGGTTGTGCTAAGTCAACATTTTTTCTCCCAACCCAACATTTTTTTTACACTAGAAATATGTATTT